AAGAGTCCAGAAGAACTTTTAAAATGTCAGAAGTTTGCTCTGTAGGGCTGCTGCTTTTTCTTAATTTTTAAGTATTTATTTAATTTATTTTAGCTTATGGCCGTCTCCCTTCAGAACGGAGCCTTGAAGTGGGATTAGTCTGTTTGTAAGAGTTGTACTTACACCGACATCCTTGTCCATGTTTCTTTCTTGCTTCCCCTCCCAGCTTTTCAAAGGGAAGGAGGGAAGTTTCTCTTTAAAACTAACTTTGAAAGGGGACGCAATTGCTACTGCCTTTCCCGGGGCATCTCTTTGGATCTGTGTTCACAAATCACATCCTGAAAAATGCACATCCGCTATTTTCCATTTATTTATTTATTTATTTTGGTTTGCTGAAAACGACGAAGCCATCCGTTGGCACTTGAGCAAGGGACTTTTATTTTTCTTTTGCTCTCAAAAGCAAAAATGGAAACAAAACGAACAACATTTAAAAGACGAACTTAATGATAATTAAACATTTTAGCATTAGTTCGAGTTTTAATTGTTTAATGATTTAGAAAATTAGTTTAGGATTTCTTGATTTTTTGACAATAAATGTGTTCACTTGTGTTTTGTAAGAGTCTGTGGCAGCTTCTGTTTGCGATAAAATGAGAAAAAATACAAAAAAACTGGCACCATTAACTCTTGTATCTTTTTGCGAATTTTAGCTTCTTGTAGTTTTAACTTATTGTTAACTTAAATATTTATTACTGCCTTGTAAGAGTACATTTGTGTATATTTATGTTCTCATCAGAGTTGCAAGTTAAAAGGGAAATATTTTTAATTTGCTGAGAAGTGATTATTCCTAATTTATTTATTAAATAGCAAACAAAAATTGAAACAATAATAACAATAAAAACTTAAATGACAGGCTCTCCAACAGGGCAAAGTGCACAGAAGTAAAACTTTTAAAAACAACCTACAAATGTGGCATATAGAACAAAATCTTGGTAGGCGAGTTTGTTTGTGGGGTTCGATGTTACATCATCTACTTTTGTCTTGTTGGGGAAAAAAACACATTTGAGTCTTCATCCTAATTGAAAGGTAAGGGGAGGGCGGGAGGGGAACATGTAGCTTGTCATTTTCTCTATTTATTCTTGTGTTTTGTACCCTCTGCCCTTCACATGCTGCCACTCAGCATCCCTCCCACATGTTACAAAAATGATTTCAGTGACAATTTGCTTTTTTGATTTTAAATATTTTAAGCAAGCACCACAGACAGCTGAAACTTGTTGGCATAAAGGACATTTTTGACCGTCTCTGGCTCTGATTCATGGAATTCCTTAGGCACAAGGGAGCAGTTTAAAAAATGCATTTACACACACACACACACACACACCCCTAAAAAAATTGCAAAAAAGAGGAAAGATCAGTGAGTTTGTAGTCCATGACTTCTAAAAATGATAAATAGGAACAGATCATAAAGGAAATTGAAATCAGGCAATGTTAAAAGAAACTGGTAGATAAATCCAGAGACTGCTCGGAAAGTACAATTTATAGTACCACATTTGAAAACATGATTTCTAAAATGTAAACAGCAAGGTAGATGGCTAGGTCAACCTCTGCTGATGAAATGCTCTTTCTGGAGCATCTTGTGATTTCTACAGATCCTTGGTTACCAAATGGAAGTTAGCCCAGGGCCAAGATGTATGTTGGTTACACTGGACGCTCCCTATTTTAGGGGAACAACACAACAACAACTGTTAAGGCCTGGAGAGGAAAAGTATCCTAGACTAGATGAGGACTTTGGTGAACTTTGGAGAGGCTGATCCCCTCTATCATGTGTGAGACATTTCTAGCCTATCATGTGGCTTATTTATGACTACTTAATTATTTAAGAGTGGAAAAGCATGGACACACTTTTTGGGCATGTACAATGGGCCCAAGAGGAGGATCTTGACGCTTAAAGAATTTCCTTGTAGTTCTAAAATGAGGCTGTGGAGAGGACTAGGCTTTTGGCTGTGGCCTGGTGCAAAGATGGTGAGGAAGACAAAGGAAATGAAGTAGCTGGACTACAATATGAAGCTGTATAACTGTTTGCCCAGACTGAGCCCATTGAATTCAAGGGGACTTACTTCTGGCTGGGATTGCACTGTTCCTGGCCAAATACCCATTGAACTACAAAGATCAGAGGGGTTCTTTCCACTGAAAACAATTGGATTGTGAGGTTTCTTGGGCTGGGTGGAGAGTGCCATCATGAGCTATCTCACCCTGAGGAACACCCTCCTGCTTGTTTTTGGCTAGGTCCCTGCTATATGAACACAGGTGTGTGCAGAGGTGCCTGCTTTATTTTACTTGTTTTTCACTGCATGAAAGCTGCTGGTGGAGGTTGCTTCTTTAGCAGCTGCAAGCTCCTGACTGAACCTTCATCAGAATAGACAACAGGGTTGGCACCACAGAAGGCATTTTGCCCCTTTGGAAAGCTCTGCTCTATGCAGCTCCAAAAGTGCTCCTCTGGTTCCCTGGTAATGCTATAGAAGGCTGTGCATCCCTGAAGCATGGCAAGTGATTGCAGAGACACACATCAGCCGACTGCCCTCTATTTGGTAGGGATAGTCATGCTTTTCTCACAGGTTGCTGCCCTTGTCTTGCCTTTCTGCCTTGTTAAAGGTTCTCACTCCCTGCGGAGTCTCAAAGTCAAATCTCTTAGAAAGTTAATTAGCACATCTCATGTACAGTGCGCATTCATACAAATGCATATGCATCAAAGCTATACTGTATAGTACAAGTACATTTTGAGCAGTGGCAACAACTTCTCAGATATTGTTTCCCCCAAAATATGTATTTTCCCAAAGGAAGCAGCAGCATCTTGATTTTTGCAATCAGTAGAGGACAGACTGGATAGTTAAATGCACTAGAGTTGAACCTTCAAGGAATGATGCAGAGGCGCATGCAAAAATCTTTAGCATTCAAATGGGAGTGTTGCAAACGTTGTTGTTGATGGTGTGCTTTCAAGTAGTTTCTGACTTATAGTGACCCTAACATGGGGTTTTCTTGTCATGATTTTTCAGAGTAGGTTTGCCATTGCCTTCCCCTGAGGCTGAGAGCATGATGCATAGCTGCCTTCATTTCTGAAATGGTGGTGTTTGGTGTCCCTTTAAACAACTTGCTTGTGCTGTCACTTAACAGCAACGGGAGCAAGTGAAAGAAGGCATTTGCAAGGATTTAGGGCTGTCATCATGTCAACATACTCTTCATATGGCCAAAGGAACCACAACATCACCTCTGTCACTGATATTAAGGGTCAAGAAGAGAACTTCAAGTTCCTTAAAGTAGCACCGCATTGTAGCAACAGAAACGTCTGTTGCCATCTACATATAGGATAGCAGGGCAAGCCAAGGTAGAGAGACTCCAGAAAGTAGTTGTGGATACCAGGAGATGGGAACCACCTCCAATTATCTTATTCAGAGCATAACAAAAACCCAGCCTTAAGCTTAGCTGCCTTTGTAGACTCTACAGCCATGGAAATAACTTTTGTGCTTAAAGAATTGTACTGAAACAGAGCCACTGAGTCAATCTGAAGCTGCATATTGGAACAGCCAGGTAACCGGCGCTTTGCCTCCAGTTCCACTTGTTTGGTCAAAATGCCTTGTTGCTGGGTGTTCAGATCCTGCTTAAGTTCAAATCCTGCAACCACACTGCATCTGACTCCCTTCCCTGCATCTCAACCAGGGCATTTAGTTGCAAACAAAATTCTCTCTTGTGATCTGTCGATTCCTAAATGGTCACAGCAATCTAGCCTCTTCTCAAGTATATTTTTTCAAGTAGCAATAAGTGCCAGTTTGAGTTTACTATTTAAAATAAAAAAAAGGGTGAACTGGATTGATTAGGGGTTGGATCAGGAGTGGGGAGGGAAAACAGAGAATGCTATATACTGATGAAGGCAGACACACCAGAAGAGCCAGCAAGCAAGAGGGGCTTGCGACATGACCTTCCTGTTTGCTAAGAAAATTTGCTTCCAGTGATGGGTCAGGGTGCAACATTGAAGGGAGCAGAGGGTTTAAAGAATTTGTCTGTCTGTTGTAATGGCGAGTTCCTAATAACATTTTACATGCCCTCTACCCTCCCCACTAATGTATTTAGTTAGGGGCATGGGGGGGTTCAGGGGAGAAAAAGGCCCAGAGTGCCTGGTCCCCTGAGTTCCTTGAGCTTCACACGTATGTATTGGGACAGTTTTTAAAAATATTCAAAAAAAATCATGAGAGAGTCAATTGATGTGGGAAGGGTTTTAAAAACTGCTGTAAAAAAAAATAAGAAAAAAATGACACTTTGCATTTAGTTTAGACTATTTATTACTGGGATTTCAGGCACGGCGGCTGTATGAATCTTTTACATGGAATTGTTTAATTATTTGTACTTTTCATGCCAGAAAATAAAAAAGTTCAGAATCTTATATGAGTTCTGTCTATCAGTCATTTGGAAGAAAACAATTCTACCAAAAAAAAAGGGTGTGTGTGTTTTTTTTATGTGAAGCTGTACTCCATTCACACACTGCCAGCACAGATCATCTTCAGAATACTTTTGTCATTGTGTCATTTGGAAATTTCATGATATGCTGTTGCAAACACCTTTCCTACTGATAACATACGTTGAACTGGTTTTACATACAGTTACATCTGAGCAAAATAGTTGCTCACTCTAACATTATAAAGACAAAGGCTTAGGCACTACTTGCCCATATAGTCCTTACTCTGCCTTATTCATCAAGCATAATGAAAGAGCCAGGTGCAAACTTAATCCTCCGTTTCTAACATATCCTGCTGGGCAAAAAAAAGGGCAAAACCATGTTCTGTTCAGGTCAGAGTTACTGAACCCTTAACTGTGTATCCTTGGCTTTTTATGTGCCTTCAAATTGTTTATGACTTATGGAGACCCTATCATGGGGTTTTCTTGGCAAGGTCTGTTCAGAGGGGGGGGTCGCTTCTGTCTTCCTCTGAGGCTGAGAGTGTGTGACTTGCCCAAGATCACCCAGGGGGTTTCCATGACTGAGCAGGGATTTGAACCCTGATCTTCAGAATAGCAGTCATGCTCAAACCATTACACCACACTAGCTCTCTTTGTATGGGGCAAATGGCTCCAATTCACATTTATAGGAAAAGTAATCCAGTACACCTAAAAGTAAGTGAAATAGATGACTTGTGACCATGGGCTGGGACCAAATACTGTGCACACAGTATAACCTCTGCCACAGAAACACCACTACTCCATTGTGAGGCACATTTTCCTTGTGTATCTACAAAAAAACAACCAGTGGATTTCATCTCTTTGGGTCCTTCTTTGTGTGTTTACGGATGCCGATGGTGGGTTGGCTATAAGCCAGGGGTAGGCAACCTTTCCCCTTTAAGGGCCGAGGGACTTCAGCTCCCAGAAGCCTTAGCCATGTTGGCCAATAGTCCCATGTTGGCCAATAGCTCCTAGGATTCTGGGAGCTGAAGTTCCTCGGCCCTTAAAGGGGAAAGGTTGCCTACCCCTGCTATAAGCGGTGGTTCAGTTTTGCACTTTCCTGACATTAAAAAATGTACTGTAGCCAGAAGAATACAATGACCTGTGTTTATGGGAGAAGAGGCACAGAAGACTCTTTCCCTTCACTCCTTACTGATCAGATGTTTGGATTGAAAGGAAAGAACTTAGGGGAGATATACACATAATTGGCGGAAATCTAAAGAGTGAGCAAATGCTTCAATTTTAATGCCTCCTTTCACCAGCAGAAGGTGCCCATACCACCTGATAATGTTAGGGGTGGGAAAGCAAACCATCTGTCCTTCTCCCACTCTCTGGAAAGATCCAAGTGGGAGATAGGGTTAGCATCCTCCCCACAGAAGCCAACTGAACAGCCTTACCTCTTCTAAGCCCACACTATCCTATCACCAGTCACCAAAGGGCCCTTTTATCATGGAGGCAGCCCCAGGCAGCAGTAGGCACATTTATGGGAAGGGGCTCAGATGGGAAACAATGATGGCTGGGAGAGACAGAGCCTCCCCTTTTGTCATGGAAATGCCTGGGCTTTGAGACAGCAAAGGGAGCAGGTGAAAGACACCAGCTTTGCCCTCCTCTAAACCCTTATCAAGCCAAGAGGCACAGAGCAGAGAGGCCCAGGTCCCCAAAGGGGAGAGGGGCAGCCAGTGAGGAAGAAGAAAAGAGTCTATTGGTTCTAACCCATCATCAATCCCACCCCCACAGCCATGCTTTGCATAGGAAGCTCCTGTCTGCTGGGGGGGGGGAGAGAGGGGGAAGGATGGGGAAGCCACATGTGTGTACAGCCAATACTAGGCAGGCCTAAACAGGCCATGTTATGCCACCCTCATTTTGCAGCACCTCTTCAGCATGTGACACTTGCACTCTGCAACCCCTTTTCTCATTTTTGATGCTCCAGAGACAGAAGACAGGAGAGATGTTTCTTTATTGGAAGGGAATGTGTCTTTCTTTCCTTAAGTGTTCACCCCCCAAAAGCAGATTAAAACAAAACAAAACAAAAGACAGTCTGGGACTGCCAGTGCAGGAGGCAAGCCAGGCACAGGCTCTTTTCCCCAGCCTGTCTTACTCCACCTGGGCAAAGTCTTGGCCAGTGGAAGAAATCACTTCAGAAAGACATCCCAAGGTTTCTCCACCACTGCTGAAAAAATGTATCCCCCTTCTCCCCTACAAAGAAACAACAGTGAGGGGTGGAGAGCGCCTTCCCCCAGCAACATAAAGGGCCAGACAGCTTTGCAGTCCTGTGCATGACCAGGGCAGGTGGCTCCCTAAAGCAAGAAAGGGTTATTTTCACAGGACTTGGCAAAGAAAATACCAGTATTTAAAAGCCCCAAGGTCCACTGGGGCAAAGCAGCACTAACAGTGGGGAAGGGATGCCAGGATCCACATGGGAAGTCCATGAGGGTGGGCTGTGGGACAGAAGAAGAGGCGGTGAATTCTGTCATGGGTCTTGGAATCACTGGGATCTGAGTCTGGCTCCACTGGTTATGGCTTCTGCACATCTGCAAGAACAAAAAGGCAGATAGGACAATCAATCAAAAGAACAAAGCAGGCACCTCCCTTGGCCCTTCTGCCAGGACACAGGGGTGGGCTCTGAGAAGAGGAACTGCCACTGCCTAAATGGCCCAATCTTTGGCAATCTTTTGTTAAGGGCACACCTATCCCTGGCACAGACCCCTCATGGAAGGGAAAAGGTTCTTGAAGACCCATGTTGGATGAGACCAAAGTCCAGCATCCTGTTCACAAACAGAAGCCTATGAAAAGCCATCCAGAAAAGACATGAAAATAACAGCAGCCTTCTGCCAGATTCCCCAGTAAATAATATACAGAAAGGTACCCGAGGGAATATATATCCATTATGACTGGTAGCCCCCTAATAGCCCAAATCTCCAAGGTGCTCGATTCCCTTTAAAATCCTTGCAAATCCTTGCATGATTATATCTTGCGATAGTAAATTTCAGTTTAACCATGGTCTATGTGAATAATCTCTTCCAGATTATTAGCCTTGAGTCTCCCACCATTAGGCATCTAGTAATATGAGAGAGGGAGAAAACCTAGCCCAAACATTCATCCACAGAAAAGTTGCTCCAGCCCCTTGATTGTTTTGCTTTCCCACCTCTGCATCTCCAACCCTACAATATTCCCCTTTTCAGAACTGTACGCAGCATTTAAAGTGTGACTGCACCAGAGATGTTTATCAAAGCAGTCTGATAGTGATAATTTGTTTTCAATTTTTTCTCTAATTATGCCCAATGTGGCCTTTTACACCTTTTACAGCCTTTTACACTGGACTGATATTTTCATCAAGCTTTCCTCCATAACCTCAAAATCTTCGTCTTGATCAGTTCCTCTCAGTTATACTTTCTCTCTCTCTCTCTCTCTCTCTCTATACACACACACACACACACACACACACACACTTTTGCCCCAAAATGTTTCACTTGATGCTTGTGAACACTGAATATCCTTTGATATATTAATGCTCCAGGTTGGAGAGATGCTGCACAAAGAACTTCTGCTGCCCTTCCTTTCATGGTTCAGTCATGTCTCTCGCTAGCAAGACCCACCCTGAGAGAGCAGAGGTGTTTGGATTTGCTGATGGACTCACCTGCTCTCAGAGTTCATCATGATTGAGGTCTTTTGGCTCATGACAGGCTGCTGGAGTGACAAATTCCATCAAGTACTCACAGCGGCTGGGCTCTGTTGTAGATGTGACCACTGTCTCCTTGCCACATGCAAGTTTCACCTGGGTGGAAGGAAAAATGGATAGCGGCTCTTAGTTTATCCATGGATTCCAGCACTGCGACTCTTAAAAATGGAGTCACTGCTTTACTACAAAATCCAAAAGTCTTGATTAACTAGCCCACCTTCCTTTAAGAATCTCCAAATGGCATATATGTTTTTCTTCCCATGACTTCCTCACAACTGCTCTGTGAAACAGAGAATGCAGTGGGGAAAATAACTTCTCCCACCCCTTAAGATTCTTTATTTCCAAGTAACTTGCCAAGAACACTCACTGAGCAAAAGAAACTAAGAAAACTGAAGAAACTAGATGGTACACTTATATGTGTTTTTCTCCAGAGCTGTTTCCCCCAGTGGTGAAAGATGTTGTTATACCACAAGGTTTTTCACTACCCACCGTATTTCCCTGGAAATAAGACACTGTCTTATATTAATTTTTCCTCAAGAAGACACAGTATGGCTTATTTTCAGGGGATGACTTATTTGTCCCAACTCCACCCTGATGCCGTGAGCACGTCCACAGGGTGTGCGGCATCAGGGTGCCCTCTTGGCGCAGCGTGCATACATGCTGTGCCAAAAGGGTGCAAAGAAGCCGTGGCGGTGGCTCAAACGGTGGCTTTTTGCTGCCTCCAAAAGGAGTGGCATTTTGCCACTCTTTTGGGGGTGACAAAAAGGAGGATCAGGGCTGCAGCGTGTGGTTGTCCGCAGCCCCGGTCTACCGTTCCCAGGGGCAGCCCAAAAAAGAGCTGCAGCTAGGCTCAAAGGCCGTTTTTTTGGCATCCTCAAAAGGAGCAGCCCTTTGAGCTGCTGTTTTGGGGGTGGCAAAAAGGAGGATCATGGCCACAATCCTTTGAGCTGCATGGCAGCTCTTTTCCGGGCCGTCCTTGGGAGCAGTGGATCCAATGCTCCCAGGGGCAGCTTAAAAAAGAGCCGCGGCAGCTCAAAGGCTGGCTTTTTGCCACCCCCAAAAGGAGTGGACCTTTAAACTGCTCTTTTGGGAGTGGCAAAAAGGAGGACTGGGGCTGTGGTGTGTGGTTGCCACGGCTCTGATCCGCCACTCCCAGGAGCGGCCTAGAAAAGCCGTCGCATCTGTGTCAGTTCTATGTCTTATTTTTGGAGTATGGCTTATACTGTGCAAATGCTTACAAATCCTGCTACGGCTTATTTTGTGGGTATGTCTTATTTCTGGGGAAACACAGTATATATCTGGCATTTATCATATGGTGTTTTGTGACTGATCACTGAAAAATAAACACAAGCTTAATTTGCAAGCAGGACTGTTGAGAACCATATTCTCTGAGGAAATCCTGTTGTGCAAGGGAAAACAATCGTACAGACTATGTACACTCCTGAAGGTGCAATGAAACAGGTGCAAAAAAAAATATTCGCTTTTTGTTTGCTTTCTTTCACTTTTAATACTTTGACTTTTCCCCATCATGCTGAATTTTAAGAATAAGAATTTAGTTACTCATAAAGTAGGAATACCCTTTAAAGAAAAAGTTTATGCTGAAACCTTTCCTTTGGCTCAATGGCCTTCTGGTACAGCACATTTTACTTGGGAAAAATGTCAAAATGTTCCCAACTGATACAATTAGGCAGCATCCTGTATAAGCATGTTTAGAATTACAGCCATTGCACAGGAACAAACCCCTTTACTTTTAAGCATCAATGAATGTCCAGACCCAATATTTCTGAAGCGAAGGCCTCCGTTCTGCCTCCAACCAAAGATTCATTCCCCTCATCCTATCGGTCAAGGGATAATCTTCCCTTTCTCCTATTGTCATTTCTTAACAACACAACCAAAGGCTTCAGTCAGCCCAAAGAGCTGACTTACAGAA